ACGTAAAATTATTTTCCATTGTTTTTAAAAAATTCCAGCTCGCCATTTTCTACAGTAGTCACTACTCCGTAGCTCACTGCTCACACTTGAAAATTAGCCAATTTTTATTTGCAAAAAAAATTTCATTGCCCACTATGATTCGCATAATTAAATTATAAATAAACATTTAATGTGGCAAGCATAAAATTGCTCTCAGCCTCTCATGAAGTATTCCAGCTAAATTTTAATACAGGCCTACTCTGGCGCGGTAAATCGCCTTAAATCGCCTAAAGTCGCTTTAAATCGCGTGTTAAATTTGTCAAATTTCTCTTAAATCGCCTAAAATCGCTTATAATGCCTAAAATCGCTTAAAATCGCATCAATTTGCCAACATGCATTCTGTTTGATACATTCAGTCTATATACTGAAGTTTATCAATTGCTGCTATTTTGCTGGCAAATGATGTAATCCAGGTGTTTTACAATCAAAAGTAATTCAACATGGATAAATCAAATAATTAGTGGATTAGGCTGACAATATTTGGTCACTCATTAGGCACCGGTCATTGATAAAAACAGAGTCTTTTTCTGCTTTATGCAGACTGTACAATAATTAGGAAATTCTGGGATATAAAAGACCCATAGATCCCATACACTAGTAGCAACAAAATTGAGTTACTATAAATAGTTAATTTCATTATTGGTGTAAATGGAGACTGCGCTACAATTTATATGGACTATGGAGGCTGGGCTACAAATTAATCTATATTGTTATATAGGTAATGTGTATGTTAAATGTGATTGGTTCATTCGTAGTCACTTGACTTTAGATAAATGCAATGTTTCCGGCAGGGCAACAAGTAAAAAATTGTTGCCCGCTCATGCGGTCGGTCATAACAAAAAACAGCTATGGAGCCGAAAACTAAAAAACGGCGTTTTTCGAGCTTATCAAGCGATGAAATTCAGCTCTTAATAGAAAAAAAAGATTCGAAAAACACTCAAAAGTCGACAAAAAATGCTGTGGCAACCCTTATAGCATTTTGTAACGAAATTTCTCCCGAGGAATCTCCGCCGAAAGACGTTGAATACCTCGAAAAGCTGTCGAAAGAACTCAACGAACTTTTGACTGCTTTTTACCCAAATGCCAGGAAAAAGAATGGCGAAAACTACAAAAAACTGCTCTTATGGGTTTAAGGTTTCGTCTTCAGAGTCATTTTCTACTTAAAAAAAACGTTGACATCATTGGTGATCAAGAATTTGCAAAATCAAATCAAGTTTACGAGGCAGCCATTGTTGAATTAAAACGGCAAGGTTTTGGCAATGTCGAACATCACAACGCAATTTCGCGCGAGGATCTCCAAAAATACAATTGTCTTACAATCCTGCTATTCCTGATCCAAAAAGCTTTCAACGATTTGTTTGGTTCAACATTATGTTTCACCTAATTCGTCGAGGAAGAGAAAACCTTCGACTTCTCACGAAGCAGTCGTTGCCATAAAGACTGACGCGACAGGAAGAAAGTTTGTTTATCAGGCGGCTGACGAATTAGATAAGAACCATAGAGGCCATGAAACGCAGACGATTCCCCAGGTGAAGGACGTATGTACTAAACAAGACGGCCCATTGTGTCCAGTGAAGGCATTTGAACTTTATTTAGCAAAGCTGAATCCGAAACTATCTTGTTTATGGCAGAAGCCTAAAGCAAAGGAACATTTTAAAGACACCGACGAAGTATGGTACTGTAATGTTCCTGTTGGTAAAAACACTTTAGGTACTTTAATGAGTCGGATTTCCAAAGAGGTGGAACTTTCACAAACATATAGAAATCATTGTATTAGGACGACAGCCGTCTCGTTACTTGACGAGTGTAATTTTGAAGCTCGTCATATTATGCGTGTTTCTGGGCATAAATCTGAGAGCAGCATTCGCTCGTATTCCAGACGACTCTCAGAGGTAAAACAAAAACAAATTTCGCACTCGCTCAGTGGTGCTTGCTTTAATAGTACGAATGCCAGTAGTTCTAGTGAAATTGTGTTAGTAAACGAAGCAGTTTGTACTGAGTCTGAAACTACAAATTGCACACAGTCACCTGTATTGACTCAGAATTTTGCCTTTCACAGCCAAGAAACTGTCAATTTTCATTCTGGAGCTTTTGCCGGGGTAAATGTGACCATGAACTTTTACAAAAAGTGACATTTTATTGTAAATATATATTGTTTATACATGTACTAAGAGTTTTCATAGTTGGGTGAATGCGAACGCTTGTTTGTTACATTTTGAAGCCATATAGTGCATGATATGCATTGTAAAGCCATTTCATGAAATAATAATATACATGGCGTCTCAATAATAATATACATGGCTTCTCAAAGCCTAATTGTTGTTAGAACAACAGTAGGAGCTATGAGAGTCAATGAGTACGAGTGTTGATTTATATAATAAGGTCATCATGCAATTTGTGCACTGTTGTATGTAGATCGAGCACTGCATTGTATACAATGGTTCTACTTCGACATGTGCATGGTTATACTCTAGCTCCTAGTTATGCTTATATTGGCTATCAAACGAAAAACATACGTGAGGTTATGAGCGAGATTTGCAGGTTTTGCAACTCTCATCTAATAAATTTTCCAGACTTGTATATAAAATAAACAGTAAAACAATGATTACATCGTACATACCATACAATCTTTGTTGTTGTTGTTTGTTTGCAGAACACTTGACAAATTTAAATATATATCCATATCATGTAAAAGACCTAAAACCACGATGTAGTGCCGCCATTTGTTTAATATCATTAGAATTCCTACCATTTATATACGATATACTTCATGTAAATTAAACATTACGGCATTACGCCGACAGTTTCCGAATGCGTGACGATACGGTTTCTGGTTATAGATAATTAGATATAAAACATAATTTTATAAAACTATTAAAGCATGTTTGTTGAAACAGTTTAAATAAAATGCAAGCTAAATAAAGAAGTGTTGACAAGATACAAAACAAGACAATTTCACTTACAAGGGTGACAAGGTAATTTATAATAGGATTATAGCTTATTATTACTGTATAAATACATTGTGCGTTTCTACCCCCTGTGGGCTGTGGTTCTTTTGGAAGTCAAATATTTATTATATTGTGCAATTTAAACTCAACATAAATTAATAATATTAAAGTTCAAGACATGTATAGTTTAGTTATAGGTTGGCATATTGCAATTATGTACCGTACATGCCCCTTAAAGATGCGGGAAAGTCCGTTCTGCGCATATATTCTGGGCATCAAAACATTCCATCAGTGGGGGAGCAACCTTTGGAATGTTGTTAATATTTCGCACCTTCCGAACTTTCTTGAATTGAATCTCTAGTCTGTATTCATTTACAAGCATAACGAACCAGAAAAGTGTTAAAAATTCAGTATAATATATATCTAATCATATTTTACAACTGTAGCAGTGAGTTCAAAATGTAAACAAAGCGTTTGTTTACATTACGGATTTTACAACACCTTTAAGTAGAGTATATCTTATATTAACTGTTTACAATATTTGTGGTATATAATGGGGCCATGACTGACCACATGACCCCACAAGATGAACTCCAATGGCTTCTAAATAGACAATGGATGAAAAGTTCATGAATATTGAGCTTTATATATGATTCAGGTTAAATACAATAATTAATTAACCTAGCTTTATATGAAATGTACATACATGTTCTAATAATTGTATTTTGCTTCATACAATGCATATGTATGTGGAAACATTACATTATTATTCAGCTCACTCCCCATTGGGGCTTTTCAGTGACCGATTACATCATAATTGATATAATAAGAGGGTTTGGAAGGCCGGCAAACTTCAAAGATTAGATTATTAGATTAGATTGGAGACTTTATTTCAAGAGCGTAACACTTGACATTAATAAAAATGATAAACCTGTGGCCCTCCATATTCCTAATTACAAAAATATACACCCAATGAACTATACTGAATAGACAATGCTAAATCTATTTACATTTAGTAGGTAATTATACTATTACTCATGCTATATTTACATTATACTAAGAATATTTAAGATAAAATAAGTCAAAGAGCAAGAAAAGATTCAAAAGTAAGCGTCTCTCGCTGCTTTGTTAAAAAGTATTTAAGAAAGTTTCTTTTAAAAATACTTGGACTATGACTTTTCTTTAAGTCACTGGTAATACTGTTCCAAGCCTTGATAGTCTTAACAGTAAACGTACGCCCTCCCTCAGTCTCTCTTTTGTATCTTGGGCAATTTAAATTTAGTTTCGAGTACCTAGTGTTCCTATTATGAATATCACAATTTCTTATAAGTAGATCGTTAATATAAGTCGGTGCTAATCCGTTTATTAGTTTATAAACTAAGGTACAGCGGTTTATGTGGGCCTCGATGTAAAATGGCAGCCAACCGAGCGTGTTAAACAGATCCACAGAACAGGCTCTACGATCAGCATCCAATATTAATCTTGCAGCTCGTTTTTGCAATTTGAGCACTCTTTGTAGGTCATCTTGTTTGCAGGAGCACCATACAGTACTACCATAGAGTAAAACAGGTTTGATTATTGCAGAGTAATATATTTCACGTTGTTTTTGTTTCAAATATGGACATATATGGCGAAGAAGACCAACACGTTTCGATAACTTCTTGCATAGCTCATAGATTTGGATGGTAAATGACAGGTCTTGATCCAAGCTAACACCGAGTAGTTTGTAACTGAGTACTTGTTCAATTACAGCGTCATTTAGTTTAGCATCTATAGAGATGGAAAAGGTGCTGGTGTTATTTCGAATGCGTTTACCAGCGATTAACATTGACTTTGTTTTTGACGTGTTTATAACCATGCCATTTTTATTACACCATCTCTCTAAGCAGATCAAATCTTGGTTTATCATTCGAGTTAAAACAGGAAATTTGTCGATACTTGCACTTCTTGCTAAAGTTGTGTCATCGGCATAAATTTCTACATTTGAGTCAGGCATATGAAGAGGCATATCGTTTATAAATGTAATGAACAACAACGGTCCGAGGATCCCCTTGCTTTCGAATATTTACGCTGAATAATTAACGGCAGATGATCTGAAAGGCCGATATCCAAAACTGAAATTCCAACAGTGAACTCAGGATGAGTTGTATAGTAATGATCAAGACATGTTGCACTTGTTGGTCTTGTGACAGAATTTACCATTTGACTGAGCTTCATACTATGCATAGCTTTTGCAAGGTGATGCTTCTTATAAGATAAATCGAGATAGTTAATATTGAAATCACCAAGAATATGCCTTTCATAATTTTTGAAATAGGCATTTTCAATGTTATTTTCAAGCTTTATATCAGTATCTGCATTAGACGAGGGAGGACGGTATACGGCGCCAGCTAGTAAAGCTCTGTTAGATGAATATGGACAAATACTTAACCACATGATTTCAACATTTTCATCTTCTAAATCATAAAGCCTGTTCGCTTTTAACTGAATGTTTGCATAAGCTAATATTCCTCCGCTTTTTTTATTACCCGCCCTGTCTTTTCTATACATTGAATAACCAGGAATTTCGTAAACCGAGCCCGATACATTGGGTTTTAGGAATGTCTCGATAAGAAACATCACGTCGATATTGTGCGAAGTCAAAAATAGTTTTAACTGTTCAAACTTTACGTCAGTAAGGTTATTTACGTTCCACTCACCAATCTTCAGACTCTTGTTTGAAGAATTCATTATTGGGTGATTTACGACCCTTCGACTTTGTTCATTTCCAGAGGTATTAGTATCTGGGCCAGCATTTAATTCTACATCTCCACTGGTTATTAGTTGCCGTTCCAATTGATACCCACAACAACCATTAGCTGAGTATGGAATTCTGCTTAACATATATCGCTTCCCACGGCCGTTCTTTGCCATTGGTATTGATATCTGCGAAGCTTGAGAGAGATTTTTAGTCTTTAATATCCATTCACGTCTATCGAGTGGAAGTACACTGGTAATAGCCATGCCCTTTGTCGACTCCACATTATGAACATCATCAGCAAAATAGATCAATGAAGCAGTCACAAACACAAGTAAAGTTATAAAATCGCTACCAAACATGCACGAGCCATCCGCCATGTTTGAACTGACGGATCACGCCCCCTTTCGTGAGCTGAACTCGATAGAGGACATCACGTGACAGTTATAGTGCATCATGGCGTGATTCTATAATACAATTCCCTATTGACAACTTAGAAATCTTTAATTTTCGATCGTTATAAGAGGTTTTGGTAAAATACAAGGTTTTATCGTAAATCTCCATTTTATGTGTGATAAGCCAAATTGCTGACGCTGTGTATAGTATGTCAACGGTGTGCCAGGAGCTTGCGAGCTATCGTATTTCAAGTGAAGCGAAGTCACACTGCTAAAGCCGTTGGAAAAGGTCGTTGAAAATGCACGTTTTAGGTTTGGAAACATGGAAATAGATGAGGAAATTGATATTGAGCGTTTAGAAAGCTCTTGTTCACCTTTTGAGGACGATTTCGAGTAAACAACTGCGCTACTCGAGATGGACGTGGTTGAAGTTCAGATTGAAGTTTAACAAGCGCTTGAAGAGGTATGAAATATAAAATTTAGACGATGATTTTTATACATTACTCGTACATATATTACTGTAAACATAGATATTTACCTAATGAATATTTTCCCTTTCAATTCATAGTCTCTAGTCTAGGTTGAAGGGAAGAAACTGTTTCCTTGCAGAGTTGCAGTTTCTCGGTGAGAAAGTTTGCAAATCCAAAGGTGGCCTGACAAGACACCGACGCAGTATGACACATGTTGCAGAATTCTAATGGTGAGGGATCTTCTACATTTCAAACAGTGATATCAGTAGAAAAAGTTGCCGAATTAATACGTGATATAGGTCAACACTTGGTTCAGTTGGTTGACGAAAAACTGTATAACTGTATGCCTTACTTTAGTATTTATTCTGTTTAACGCCAGGCGATTTTACTTGTCAAGGGAAGCATCTTGGATAAAGCTAATATTTCAGTGCCACCAAAGGGCAGTCTCACTCTCAGAGCCAAACAAATGTAATTAGAATATTTAATCATAGATTCTTGTTTGAATTTTAGGAAGAATTGTCTTTGTCACCTCAGGAGCTTGAACCATTATCATATTTGACTGGCTATGTGATATTAAGATCTTTATACCATAAAAGCAAGAACTGTTATAGGAGCAATTCTTCCCAGAACAAAGAAATCTAAGCCTTGATATCATCAATGCAACAGGACAAAGAGGCCAATAAATACATTTCATCCTTGTTGAGGGGTGGACTTTAGTCACCACACTCATGGATTGTAAGCATTGCAGAGGTGTAAGAGTTAATATTTAAAAAACACACATCAAATAAAGACAAGGTCATGGGCGGATTTACTGGGGGGG